GGCTACTACAGCTCGCTCGGGCTCTGGCTCGCCCTCCTCGGCACCCTGGGCAGGACCGGGCCCTCCCTCCACCAGGTCTTCAGCGACGAGGTGAGGGCGCGGGCCCGCCCGGGCCCCGGGGAACCGCCGTGGGCACAGGCCCCTGGAGCGTGGGGTGGGGGCCTTGCTTGGGGTCTCCCCCGCGGGGACGCAGATCCTGCTGCCCGTGTAGGCATCGGCCGGTGTTAGAGACAGCGCCTCGCCATAGGCGGCACGCCAGTATAGAGGCAGACCTCCCCCACTGCATGTAGATGCCCCTCAATGTACAGACAGACCTACTGTCTGTGTGGGTGCCCCCAGTATGGAGGCAGACCCCTCCTTTTGGATAGAGACAGCACCTCACTGTATAGGCGCCACCCTCCAGTGTAGAGACAGACACCCAGTATAGGTACCCCCAGTGTAAAGACAACCACGCTCCCCCATAGGTAACCCTGTATGGAGACATACACTCCACACCCTGTTTAGGTGGTACCCCTCAGTATAGAAACAGAGCTGTCCCTTTTCTATAGGTACCCCCAGGCAGAGAGACAGATCTCTTAGAAGGACTGCTGTAACTGCTCAGGCTCCTCTTACGGATCACAATCAGCGGAGGGCAGTGCCGGTGCGGCTGGGCCGCGGGAGGAGATTACGTGCTGTGGGCTGTGATTTGTGCCATGGTTTCCTACTAATAGTCCCATGTAGATTTTAGGCTTTTCAACCCCGCCTGGGAGGCTCTCCATGATGGCTTTCATCCTCAATGCACTCACCTGGTAAGTCAGCAACTAGCTGGAGCACCTGTGTCTTGTTCTTTCTTAACATTAGACAAGAATTCAGCATGACCTGCTGCCTCTCTCAAAACATCTCCCAAAAGCTCTGTGCCTGGTTGAGCAGGTTTGCTGAGGGCAGTTGGGAACTGCTGACTCCTAACTTGCTAGATCCTGGATAAGTCATTTTACTTTACTGCCTCAGTTTCCCAGCTGGGAGTGAGATTTGCCTCTGAGAGAGATTTTACTGAAAATTCAAATTAAGCAGTCTCAGCAAACACCGATCTATAAACAAGAATGTATTTTGCCACTGGGCAAGGATTACTGGGGGAGATTGTGCAGGGCACCAGGCAGAAATTTTTAAACTAAGAGCTCATTTCCCTGACATCAGATGATTAAAAAGCTGTATTTAAGTCTTGCTGCAGGGGCTGGGAGCAAGGTCAGAAACAACCTGTCCTTAAAACATTTAAGAAGCTCTAAAGCAGCTAAATAACTAGCACTGACAACTTAGAATAGCTCTTCCTGTATCCCCTTTCCCATAGGCACACAACAGTTTGTTTATTAATCTCTGTCTCTATTTTGCAGTGCCCTAGGCTTGCTGTACTTCATCCGCCGAGGAAAGCAGTGCCTGGATTTCACAGTCACGGTTCACTTCTTCCATCTTCTGGGCTGCTGGATTTATAACTCACACTTTCCCTCAACCCTGACATGGTGGCTGGTGCACATCGTGTGCACTGCACTGATGGCCGCGATCGGAGAGTACCTCTGCATGAGGATAGAACTCAGAGAAATCCCCCTCAATTCTGCCCCCAAATCTAACGTATAGACTTGCTCTGGCAACAACATGCTGCGTTATGTCATTGTTTCCAGCACAAGTGCATCTAATGCCTGAAAATCATCCCTGAAGAAGCACAGCAGGTCTGTTTTGACTTTTTTTTTTTCTCCTTTGGACCTTGGTGGCTGCATGAGTGTGAGCATCTCCTCTGGCATCAGCCGACAACGGGAGAGGAGCAAATGTTTATTTTGTTAACACAAAGCATTTAATATGACTGTGTGGCAAGTGTGCTCTTAAACTCTTCACTCGTGAGACTGTTAAAAGCCAGGTAGCAAAACTTGATGCATGAGGAGCATCTGGAATTTAACAAATGTGGGAGTGCCCTGTATGGGTAATGCAATGGTCAGCTCTTCTTGTGGGAGCTGGCACAGTGAACAGTGGGGCTGGGAGCTGCTCCTTCTGATCTGTAACTTGTTTATTTGGGCTTTGGTGCGGAAAAAAGTCAAGGAAGTGAATGGATGGGGAGAAAGAAAATAGTTGCGCTTACCTGAATCACCAGCTGAGACCCTAAATAACCTATAATGTCCAATGGGTTTGTTTGCTGTTTCCATGTTTAATACATAGAGATGTCAGCAGTTTGCTGAAGAAATCTTTTGTAATAATAAAAATACTATGTTGCTGTGAGCGTGTTACGGTTCTTCTGGGAAGCTGAACACTGCAAGAAATATCACGAGCATCTGTATCATGGCAGCAGAAGGATTCAGCCAGAGGAGAACATGTGGCTGTAAAATGCGCACTGCCTAGTGCACTGAAAGTTTCCTACAATAAGTATTTTGTACCTCTGCTCTGAAATGAAGGCATGAGTGAGTGCTGTCTTGGGAAGTCAGCCAGCATAATCCTTGCTTCAGGAGGACTGTCAGCAATCCAGGGTCTCCACACATTCAGCCTGAGGCTGGAGCTGTCCTTGGGGAAGCCTGCAAAGGTGTCCTGGAGCCACACTGCTGTTCCCACTTGTCAGTCTTCCTGTCAGGCTTCAGAAGTCTAGCAACAGATCTGGTCTTGTAGGGGTGATGGCTAGTTAAGTGAGAGACTGCTGCTTGTTTCTTAAAGTAATAGGATGTGCCTTTATTTAGAACCCCTTCAAATATACATCATCTGTGGGCAGGCAGGGACAACACCTTACTGCTGAGGGGCCGAAGCTGGATGGTTTGTTCTTCCAGCTCCCACAGCCCAGGCAAGCAGACCTGCATCCTGTCTAGTTTCTGCTGAGGGATGGCCAGTTTGTGCAATCCCAAATGAGGGCAAAGCCAGTTCTAAAGACAGATTTTCTCCTGTGCAGCATCTTGCTGCAGTAGCTTTCCTTTTTATGTTAGTATTTGGAAGTGTTAATTTGCATAAATAATTTGCTAATTCAGTTTGTTGAAAAGTGGTGGGATGATTTGAGATGCAGAAGTTGATAAACTCTTTGAGGTTGCTCTTTTTTGTTACTGGGGGAGCTGTATTTCATTTCCTGCTCTCATATTCAGATACTATAAATTGAGGCAGGCTAACATCCTGATGTTTTAAATACTTGGCAGATCTGCATAGAGGAGGATTGCCAGTTACATTTATTTAGACAGAACTTCTTCTATTCTGAGATTTCTCCAGGACCTTTTCCTGACCAAAACCCCTTTAAGCACAGTTTTAGAACAGCAGCTGTCTTTCAGAGGAAAGAGTTTACACAAGTTTTTTTCTGGGCAGGAGCCAGCGCTTGCTGGAGGGCCACCCAGAGGTCACTTCCTAGGGCTTTCCCTGCAGCTCTGCGGTCAGCAAGCAGTTCATCCCTTCTCGAAATCTGCTGGTTTCTCATACGCAAGGATACCCACCTTTCTTCCAGTTGCCTTCAGCCTAGATATAAACTGGTCTTCCAGTAGGTGCCAGTATCTCCTTCAGAAAAGAGCAGTGAGTGTGCTGCGATTGGCATAGGGGCACTGAGCAGAGGGCACGCTCTGCCTCAGGGCTGACAAACACTGGCTTGGTATCAGTCGTATTTTAGGACTCTTTCAGGGTCATTTTGTCCTCTCTTGCTTTCTGTTGCTGTTATTGAGAAAGAATATTCCAGTCCTTAGGGAGAACAGGGAAAGTTTACAGGTTTAATTCAAGGCTTAATACCACACCAAAGCTCATGGTGAACTCCTGTGTTCTTCAGGGGTAGTCTTAAGGCAAGTGTGAGCTAGAAGACTAACTACAGTGAATATGAGAGCAAGGAGGAAGAGCCACATTTTGTCCCATTTCTTAAAGGAGAATGGGCAGCTGATCCCAGACTTGCTGTGAGACAGTATTAAAGAGGTGCTATCTTTGTTCCCCTGTAAGAACAGGGGAAAAAAAAAACTTAGACCAAGGAACTTACCTCCTTTACTTTCTGAATACATGGGATAGATAGGCTGTAACTGCTTCAGCAGCCTCCCTTGCCAGGGGAGTGAAGTCTGGGTGCAGCTTTGTATCTGGAGACACTTGGAGCAAGGCCACAAGAAAAATCCTCGACAAATGAGGATTTAACACAGAGCCTGTGGGACAAGCACAGAGCTGCACTGCATCAGCATGAAGTATGCTGTAGGATTAGAAATGCTTTCTGAAAGTTTGCTGATTTTGCCCTTGAGGACTGAATCTGTGTATTACTACTTTTTTAAAAACGGAAACCTACTGTAATTGTCCTAGTCATAGGGGAAGTTCTGCTAAAAATGAAGTATTGATTGAGGAGGGAACCTCTGAAACTCATCACTCCCACACCGTGAGACCTAATTTTCCCTCACAGGCTCACACACGCTTTCAGATTCAGGAGCACCTTTAGCTTTAAAAAAGTCTGCTGCTCCATACCAGAATGGTGGCAGATGGTCTTTGTTTCTTAATGAATCTTTGATTTTTGTGTGCAATAGTTGAGGGATTTACTTCCAGGGAAGATATGCCCCAACACCTGCTCTTCTTACAGACAGCAGTAGTGTCAGCTAGCCATGTGCATCCATGGTTTTGCAAGAAGATGACTTCTTGGAGCTCTCTGCTGAGAGTTTTACATTCCCCTTCCCCAGAGCTGTTTAACAGAGAGGAAGATGCCAATTCCAAAGAGAAGCTAAGGGTTATGGGGTTTTGTGGGGCTGTGCTTATTTGTTTTCTAAAGGCGTTAAACATCGGTTCTAAACAAAGAGCAGATACAGAATTTGGATCCAAAAAGACTCCAGCCTTGGTTGTACATGATACCCACCTACTTCAGCTTTCCCCAGCCACAAACCACAGGCAGAAGAGATAACAGGGGGAGGGCTTCTGTTGGAGCAGAATAAGAAGAAAAAACAAAGCAGCTGAGTGGTGCACTCCAGGTTCTGCAGTGCTCTGGTTTACCCTTTCTCCACTACTTATCTTAAGGCTTTGTGCCTGAGATGCTGAGTACATAACAGCTCTGTTCTCTGTAGAAAACCTAGGTGCCTGAAGTGCACCAGCTGCTCCTCCCTGGCTTATTTCTTGGTATTTGCCTCAATTTATTTATACTGTCCTGCTGCTGCAGGAGCGGAGTGTTAGTGATAGGGAAGATAAGAACATGCAAATGCCAAAGGAGAGCAGTATGACCCACGATTAAAAAGCTCAACACCAGTGTTGTAAAAAGATCTCTTGCTGTAGGAGAAGCTTGCCCATGCGCCTGTAATGCATCCAGTGGGATCTCTGAGGATAGCAGGGCCCCGGATCCACTGCTCACACTTTACAACACATTTTCAGGTTTAGGGACACCATTTCAGAACCTCCTGGTCCATTTACTGCTGGTGGTATCTAGCGCTGTGCCTGCTCCCATGGCAGGCAGCACTCAAAGCACCAGTGCAAAGTCTTCATTCAACGTTTCTCAGGACCTTGAGGAGCCATGAGCCAGCTCTGTTAGCAGCTGCCTGCCCCTTCTGAAGACAAAGCAAGTGCCCTGGTAAGGGGCCAAACCACCTGTGAAAACAGCCAAAGCGATGTATGACACATCTAGGAAAGTCAGTCTGAAATACCTTGCTAGTTAAACATGGAAATTTCAGATCTGATGCAAAACAGATGAGTTGCATAATTAGGAAATGGAATTCACCACCACATCCAGCTGTTGAGTCCTAGTTTAGAGCATGATGAAGACCAGCTCCTTCCCCATTCCAGAGTGGCAGCACTGCATGGGGAACTCATTGGAAGTGGTAGAAAGTTCCAGCAGGACTCACTGTGCTTCCTCTTAGCAAGAAACTGCCCCGAGACCCTCACAGGAACAGGTTACAGACCTGCGCTGGGTTTCCATGGCTCCTACAGCCTGTGCAGCCGTGCAGGGCACAGAGCTTCATGAGCATCCTTAAAACACAGAATTGCCTTGTACTGCCGCATAATGTTGTTGCGTTTTTCTAACATAGCCAGAAGTCACTTGCAAGCACCTCTCTGTTGCAAATACTTTCATGCTTGTACTGAAGCTATGAAACAAACAACTCAGCTGCAAAGCAGACAAGAAGAGACTCAAACAAGAGCCAGGACAAATAACTGCTTGCTGTAGGCTCTACAACAAACTTTAATACTCTGGAATTACACGCTGCCACCCACAGAGCTGCTTACAGGTGCCCTGGGGAAAGCTTTAAAGCAAAAGTGTTCCTATAAATTGTTTTTGTCATGCTAGTTTGTCACTCCCTCTCCCCCAAATATTTTTACCCTCTATTTCCTTAGAAAAGGGATTTACACATAACATGGGAGTTACTCAGGAATCCAGATGTGTGCAAGAGAAGAGATCATGCACCCGTGATTATTCCTCAGCAGGGGTTTCACCATGTCCTCAAAGAAAAAAGGCCAGTACAGAGCATTAAGGACTCCTTTCTGCCTTTGACAGGACATACACTGTCCGCTGCATCTCACAGATCAGTGGTTAAAAATGCCCACCTTGTTTTCAGTGCCCAAATCAAAAACCTTGAGAGTTGATCTGGTAGAAACAGTCAAACAGGTTTCCTTCCAGTAGCCATAGAAGAGTGCAAAAGAACCCAGTGTTCACAACTGATTTCTCATTTTCCCCTAAATCCTCTGCCCCGTATTTACAAGGTCCCAAATTCTGCAGTCAGCCAGGTCTGCGCCTGTGCCTTGAGGCAGAAGGGGACAGGCATTATTCCAAATTACAGAGAAATAGCAAAACCCAGGAGGTGCTGCCAAGCTCTTCTGCATCTCACAGGCACAGGATGGAGCCAAGCGTTCACTGAGCACCGCACAGCGTATTCCTCAAAGGTTTGGAAAAAATGATCAGAAAGACATCACAACACACGCCGCCACGACTTTTGTGCAATACTTACAGAGCTGCAGTTTATAAGTTCAGCCAAGTGACAATGAGGGGGATGCTGAGGAGGGAAACGTTGGGAACGTGGGTCCAGGCAAAGCTTTGAGCCGTGCTGGGACTGCAGAGGTCAAACAAGCTGCCTTGAAATTTGATTTTTCGAGACTCCCTTCTCAGCATCTCCCAGACAGCTGCTGCTTCCTTCTGGCACTCCCAGAGCACTGTCAGGGCACACGTGTGAAATTCATCCCAGTACCTGCAGCCAGAGGAGACACCCGCACCATCAGTCCAAGGAGCGGGGCAGAGCCTCGCTGCCCCAAGCCCACCCTTCGAGCAGGCTGTATTTTGTGCAAGTTGCCCAGACTATTCATGGCCTCCATTGTCTCCCAGAGTGTCTTGGATAAAACTCTAAACATCAAAACACACTGAAATCATTTCT